TACCGAGTCCCACGTGCATCTGAGCATCTGCCTGGGCTTAAAATGGGGGTGGCATCCCCCAGGGACACTGTCCACCCCTATATCTCTGGAGTTCAAGACGGAGCCCTCTCCCGTTCTTTCTCCTGCACATTAGCACCTGACAAGCAGAAGGTTAGACACACAAGTGGACTGAATCAAATGCTCTAAGCCACTGGGCTAATCGGTCCAGTGATAAGTAGACTCTATCTCCTCATGCAGAAGGAAGTCCAGATCCTTGGCAAAGCTGGAAGGTCTTTGCTAAGACCCCACAGTCACCTTTCGAGCCTCATGCTGCCCTTACCCAGTGGTATGATGGGAAATAAACGTTGAACAACCAGTTCTCTGGTGCCGGTGGTGGGGAATAGCCCTGATTTGTAGTATTTGCCGATTGCTTGATGTAAAACACTCCCACCATGAGCTATTTCAAGCCACCACCAAAGTGATGTCATCAAAGTCAGAGTTGGGAAGAGACGCACAGTAGCATTATGTTATTTACCATTATATAGTAAATACCATTATAGAGTAGTCCCACCATACATAGATGTAAATAACCTCAAGGGCATAGATAATAGTAACATGTAGTAAAATAATTAGGAAATGATCAGTTTTAAGTATTTTTCATTTTTAATATAATTTATTCAATTGTAGGTTTATATAGTTTATTTTTTTTAATGATTGCTTAATAAACAGCTCATAAAATTCCTGAAAATTTAACAATCAGCTCTTGTGAGCCATAAGAGCTGGCCCTCCCACTAGAAATGGGCGGCCCCTGTCCTTCAGAAGAGCGGTTCCCCAGAGTCCCCATTCTGAGGGGAGGGGACCCTTGGTGTGGCGTGTGGGTGGGAGAGAGTGTGTGAATGTTCTGGTTGACCTCTAGTGGCCACGAAACCTGAAGCAAATGAGGAGCCCTCTCTCCAGTCACACTCACAGGTATAAACACCCATCTCTGGAGGACAGAAATCCAATCCCAGAGGCCAGAGAGTGGGGCGGGGAGAGGACTGGATGAGGAGGACGCAGGATCTAGTCCTCAGCCTGCTCAGTTTCCTAGCCCTGGATCTTAGGCCCATTGCTAGCTTCTTGAACCTCAGTTTCCTCATGGGTAAAGTGGGATAACCTACCACCCATGCTGCCCGTTATCTGAGGCTCTGATGAGGATGAAACAGAAAGGGCTGTGTGATTTGGAGAGGATCACACTGATGGGAGTTACAGAAGATAAGCAGTCAGGCTGTGGAGGCAAGTTCTCCCAGTGTTGTCATATACAGACCGAGTGACCATGGGCAACTTACTCGGCCTTCTTCTTTTTTTTTTTTTAATTTTTCCTTTTTCTCCCCACCCCAGTACACAGTTGTGTATTTTTAGTTGTGGGTCCTTCTAGTTGTGGCATGTGGGATGCCGCCTCTGCATGGCCTGATGAGTGGTGCCATGTCCGCGCCCAGGATCGGAACCAGCGAAACTCTGGGCCGCTGAAGCGGAGCATGCAAACTTAACCACTTGGCCACGGGGCCGGCCCCCTTGGCCTTCTTAAACCTCTGTTTTCTCATCTGTAATATGGGTGGCTGAGACGTGCGTAGAAACAGTACCACCAACCTCAGGGCATTGCTGAGCATCAAACGTGGACATAACGTGTTCAGTGCCTCGATAATTACTGGCTTTATTATCATTGCCTCTATCCACATCCGCAAAAGAAGTCCTTCTCTAAGGGTTTTTCACACGCATCTCCCAAAGGCCACCAGCTTGGGTAGGAGGGGGAGCGGGTATGTCCAGACGGGTCCACTGACAGGACCTCCAGGAACCCCCCTTGCGGCTCCGGATGGCCCTGCCTGCTGCCCCCTCCTTCCCTCCGGAGCCAGGGCAGGCTGGCAGCTGGGAAGTGGGTGGAGCGCCCAGAGATAAACTTTTCATGGCTCCAGCACAGAGGGTGTTTTGTAACATTTTCCAGTGGCATTAGGTTTCTTGAGGCTTCTGGTGAGAAGATGAGCAATGGAAGGTTAAGCTGTGGCGAGGAGCAGGCTTACACAGGGGAAGGGGAGCTCGAGAGCAAACACAAACGCTCTTCTCCCCCTCACAAGCCGCCAGAAAGCTCTCTTTCAATCTCCTCAGAGGAAGAGCAAAACACTCTTGTAGGGAAAAGATACAAAGAAGACCCAAAGAGCTTTAACTCTTGAGAATTTTACCATGTTTCCAAGGGGTTATGCCCTCCCTGGAAGCTGACACTGACCTGCCACAGGGACCACCTCTCCCAGGCGTGATGCCACTGCGGCACTGAGGGGCTCTGGCAGGCGAGGTGAGGCCTGGCTAGGCGTGGGGGCCTCTGGGTGCTTGTGAGGAGGCTGGGGGAGGGGAAGAGGAGATAAAGGAGCTCCTGAGGAAAGGTGTCTGGTTCACCTCTCACCATGCTGCTCTCCTGCTCAGTACCCTTTCTCCGGTTCCCTCTCACCTTTGAAAAGAAATCAGAAGTTCTTCAGGTGGCTTGTGAGCACCGACATTACAACTCTTCACTGTCCAGCCAACCAGTTAATTGCATGGGTTTTGGAGTCAACCAATGTGGGTTCAAATCCTGGCTCTACCACTTATTAGCTGTGTGATCCTGGACAAGTTAGTCAACTCCTCTGAATGCCTCAACCCCATTAACAAAGCAGGAATAATTATAGTCCATACCGCGGAGGGCTGTTTTGAGGCTAAAATGAAAAAACATAGGTAAGATGCTTACACAAATCCCTGCATTGTGTGAACAGTCAATAGATCAAACAATAAAGACAAATTAAAATATTTTTATTACCAGTTTATCTCTTCAGCTTCATCCCGTCACTTCCCAGAATGCAGTGACGTAGAAAGAGTAAATTACTCGCAGGTTTAGACATGACACCCACACTCTCCTGTTCCAGGCCTCCCAGGCTCTTTTGTGCTTTTTAGCACCTGGCACATAGTAGGCACTCAATAATCTGCAGAACGAACATTTGCCTAGAATTCACTTTACACCTTTCTTCACCTGGCAAGCTCAGTTTAGAGGTCCCTGGGGGGTCCTGGAAGGCTGCCCTGAACCCATATGTGGGCTACATCCTCTTTCACAGCATCCTGTGCACAGACACTTCATGGTACTCACCATGTGCTACTAAAACCACTTCTGTGCCTTCTTTCCTCTCTAGACCATTAGTCTTGCAAAGAGGAGCCAGAGCTCAGGCATATTGTCATTCCCGATGCCTACCACAGGGCAGGTGCTTGATAAATGCTTAGCTCTTAAGTAAAGCCGGTCACTTGCTCCCAGGCTGGAAACTCGCATCCCAAATACCTCCCAGGACCCACCGCCCTTCCCAGCAGGTTTGGCCAATAGTCAGCCAAACCCACTTCCTGCTCCTTCTCCGGAGTCAAACCCTGGTTTTTGCCTCCTGGCTGAAAACAGGAAACTGGAGAATGGGGAGTTTCTTGAAATTCTCGTTCATCAAAGCTATTCTGTTTTGTACTTCAGGGCACTGGTACTGTCTCCACCTGAACTCGGTCACCTGGGCAATAGACAGCCAGTGCTCTACCTCACGAGAGAAATGAGTGACTCAGGGACCCAGGCGCCTGCGGTTCAGGGAGGGGGCCCTAGAACCCTGGGTATCAAGGGTTCATGCACAGTCTCTGGCACACAGCCCCCAAGAGTTGTATCAGTTTGTTTCTGTGCCACTCAGACGTTAGCTTAAAAAAGGCAGGCGTGATTTTCTCCCCCAGTTCTTTCCTGTGGCTTTAGAACAGAGCTGTCTTCAGTTGCTAACATGGCTCCCCTGGGGTTACTTGGAAGAGCCCAAAAGTTTAGAAGGAACTAGGCAGCAACCACCCCACTGGAGTCACTGAAGGGCCAGGACAGGGTCCTCTGGCCCAGGGTCAAAGATGGGGGCAGGAATATGTCTGGCTTACACTGGACTCTTAGAAACAGTAGAGCTGACTGCAGGGTAAACCCAGGGGCTAGGGAAGAGATGCTCTCTGCTAGCATCTCCCCATTCCTCAGCCCAGGTGCTCCACCTGGGGAGGCAGGAAGCCCTTCTGGGAGGGTTCCGAGGATGCGCATCGTCTTGCTTTGCCCCCAGACAAGTCTTGCTGGGTGGGGCTGCCCCCCTTCCTGGGCAGAGGCAGAGGGCTGTTCTTTCCCCTCCAGCAGGGCCTTAGACCTGACTCAAAGTTCTAAGAGGATGGACTATCTTAAACAAAGGGCAAAATGACAATGAACCTTAGGAAAGAATCATTGGCCCAGGATGGCCGATGTTGGCACACCAGTCGCGCCACGCCCCCGCCCACCGATGGGCTAAAAAGCAGTTCTGAGGATCCTGCCTGGTATGCAAGACCTCAAACTACATTCCACCACCTGTTAAGATTCTTTGAATCTGTATTACTCACTTCATCTCAACCTACCTCATATTGTTGACTATTTCACACAGGTATGACTATAATTTAGCTAACTATAATTTAACATTTGGAGGGCAGGGGCTTTGTCTTATGTCTTTCCTGTTCTCCTTAGCATGCAGCACGGTGCTGGGCACAAAGTGGGAGACTCAATAATACATATTTTGTGCATTATTTGTGCCTGTCCACACTTCTAGCACATCCTTCAGAGAGATCTCATGGCGTGCTTGCTTCCTTTTAAATGTCATGTTTTAGCTTCGGGGTACCTGACAAAACTTGTTTCTGCTATTTGGGGCCTGATTTTAACCTATTTGTGAGATTTTACAAAGTATTACAACATCACAAATATACCCTTGGCAGAGAGAGGGTTTGGGGGAAATTCCTCAGGACAAAGTGTGGCCTCAGCAGCAGCACTGCCCAGCTTTCTCTGGGCCCTGCAGTTTCTGCCTGGCCCAGGAGCCTGTCCCCAACTGCCATGTGACTTCTCTCAGCCTCTGTGTGGAGAAGGGAAAAGAGCCTGCAGTCAGGAATCTTGAGGTGCGACCCCCGAAGTCTGAGGAAGAGGAACAAGGAGCATGGTGCTGCAAGAAAAAAGAGCAGTAGAATTTTTAGGATCAATTTTATTTGGGCTTCTCACAGTGGTTAGAGCCACTCTGTCTTCAGAACAATCACAGCAGAGGAAATGCGTCACCGAGACTGCCCAGAAAAGTCTGACCAGCTGAATCTTATTGCTTAAAATACACATATTCACAATAACTGACAAATGGTGATGTGCCTCACACAGGAATGTGTTAGCGTTTGCAAATCTTCCGACTGTAGCACCAAACCCTCACTGACCCCTTCCTTCTCATTCACCTGGAAAACCAGACTCGATCAAATCTCCCGGCCCCCTAACTAGTCCCGACTCCCTATTTCCCTCGCTCCCACGCAGGGTAGCCTCCCGTAGCAGGGGCCAGGCTGTGCCGGCTGGAATCAAGCCCAGCTCCACCGGCTGCATTTTTTCTTCTCGTGCCTTTAGGGTAGGACGCTGCAGTGAACACTCGGACCAGTTCCCCACTCTAACTGGGGAAGGAAACTTGAGAGGGCCAGAATTCATCCATTTGATCAGTTAACTGAAGAAGGATTCATTTTGGTAAAACTTGATCTCCTTTGAGACACTTCAGTGAGTTGTTTGGGTTTTTTTTAAAAAAAAAAAAACAGGTGGAAGGAAAGGCATCTGAGGGCTGCTGATGCACTCCCGCCCCGCGCCACACACCGGCTTGCCTGCATGCAGTGGACCTCAGCAGAGGGAGGTAAGCCCGATGGCACTGCGGTATCCGCCAAACCCTCCTGGCAGTTCTGGGCAGGGCGGCCGTCTGGGCCACAACTAGTCCAAGCTTGTCACTGAAGATCCAGTCAAGCTTCTGTCTGAAGTTCCACCTTTGCCTTCTGTCCCGAGTGGCTGTGGACACCCCCTGGGGGCTGAGATGGAGGGCCAGGAGCAGCCGAGGGAGGCAGACAGGTTCAGAGCACGTTTCCACAACAGGGAACAGAACACAGGCCTCTGAGCGTCCACGGAGCAATGTGCAAATTGCAGTGATGGGTAGAGTAAAACCTCTACTTCGAGCACAGTATCTCTGGCAAACACAGGGGACTGCCGTCGACAATGCTGCTGAATACACCCGAGTACACAGTCAGACATTTGTTCAGTAAACAGTAAATGCGTAAAATAAATTACCTTGAGAGGGCCATATCTGCTCCAAACGTGTGGTTAACACATGCAGAATGGCTGCCATTCAAAGTATATTCACAGGAAAACAGGGCTGGGGGCTCACACACAACAGACAGACACACACAGGTTATCCAAAAAGTCACTGTGTATGGACTTCACTTTGTTCAACATGGATTTTGGTTTTGTGGACTCCAAACGCAGACACTCGTTCACCTCACAGCCTTGGATTTGCCTATTTTTGTATACATACATATATATATATATATTTGTTTTTTTTTTCCTTTCTTATCATAACATCAATGCCTTGTCTGAATGTCATCGTTCAAAAGTCGGGGAAGAACCAAACTCTTCGTATGAACAGGGCTGGACAGGGAATGTTAGTTTCGGCTATTCACTTTCTCCATTCAGACTCTTCCTACCAAAGTACGACTAGTTATCTGAAGTCAAACCACAGTAATAAGGATCCTACTGTCCTGGATGGCTGCCTTCACGCTCCTACCTGAGCCACTTAGGCTCTTTACAAAGGCTACACAAATTAGCTACCCCACTCAAAGCCGGGAGGCAGGGAAAGGGCATAAAAATCACAGATAACAAAGGCATTTTTTCCAAGTGGTCAGTTAAAAATAAAAACCAACTTATTCAGAATCAAGAGAAAATACTGTGGGAGACCAGGCTATGGGGCTGCCTGTTCTCCGGACCCACAGCCTCCTCATTTGTTCATACAGAACCGTGAGACCTCAAGGCCTGCAGACTGTGTGCTTGGGACGGGGAGAGCCCTGGTCACCTGTGGGCACAGACCAATGGGGAGAGATGCAGAAAGCTGCACCTCTGTCCACAGCCATGGCTTAGGGCCTCCTGCGCACCCGCAGAAGTTCCAGGATACCCCCACCCAAGCCTACACACAAAACATCTCCTTCTGGCTCTATACAGCAGCCAGGCTCTTTCAAGGCCAACTTGGGAAAGAGCCACAAACTTCCCTTTTCCAGAACAGAATTCTTGCCTGCCCACTGGTAAAGTTCTTGTTTTCAGCTCGCTTTTGTTTTTTTTTTAAAAACAAAAACCCAAAAGAGAAGGTGGTATAATTTTCCATACCTGAACCAGTCTGTAGCCAGCCAGAACCTGCTCAGAAGGGCCCCTCAAAGATGCACAGTGGGGCATCAATGTTGTCACCAGGAATTTGAGAGAGCAACAAGCCCCCTACCAACCTACCCCTCCAACTGCCGGTCAGCTCTCCTCCTCCCAGAGGATTAGCCCAATTCTGGCTCTGCAGACACCGGCAGCGAGGGGTAACAATCTTTGGGCCTCTGTAGGCTTCCTTTGTCACCCAGGGCTGAGACACAGCAAGGTTCTCTTAAACTAACACCAGAGCATAAATTCACTCCATTACCAAGAGTCACCTCAGGGCACAGTCTCAGCTCCCTTCCTTGAGGGCTTCTAAAACACAAATCTCTTTGACTCCAGCAGGCAGTGATATATGACTTGAAAAGGGGACAAAGGGGACAGAGGTGGGGTATGAGGAATGAGTCTCAGAATCAACTTCTCAGCCCTCCAACACTGTGCTTCCGTGGGGGCAGACGCATCCACGCCCCCATACTGTACCTGGAGATGTAGGAAAATGCAGGAGCGGAGGGGGGAAAAAAAAGAATGAAGTGGCTGTCCCACTTTTTCTGAAAGTCATTTAATGCTTCTCTCGTGGTTCTCCCCTACCCTGGTTGCTCTGCCAAGTTCTCGGGCGCAGCAGGGCCTGCTCTAGCTAGGGGAGCTGCTGCTCTGGGAGTTTGGGGAGTCCTGCTCATTGATGGTGTTCAGCAGCAGGCATGCAGGCGGCCGCGGCAGGTGGGCGTGCCCGGGCTCTCGGGCCTGCTCCCCGGAGGGCTGGCAGAGCCCTTCCTCCTCGTCGCCAGGGGGCCGCACGTGGCAGCTGTCACAGAAGTCCAGGGGCCCATCCAGAGCATCGTCAATGAGCGCGTTGAACTCTTTGAGGTCATCATCATGGTGGCCCCGGTTGCACACACACACCTCGATGCCTGAGTCCCCCGTGAAGCGGCGGTGTCTGCCAGGCGTCTTGTCTTTGTTGTCGGGGAGGGCGGTGCCCTGCTCAGAGCTGTAATCTTTCAGCAGCTCCTCCTTACATTCTGAATCCTTGTCCAGGAAGGCCCCAGGGTCCAGCTCCCCCAGGCCGGCCACAGAGCCACTGGGCTCCATTCCGGGGGCTTTGGTGGCTGCTGGGTCGGCTGGCACGTCGGAGGGCTCAGGGTCTGCGATGCTCGGGGGTCTCGTGCTGCTTCTGCTGGGCCCAGACAAGGGGCTGCTTGGAGCCCCCTGGGAGCCCCTGGTGGGATCGGCGCCTGGGGGGCTGCTGCCTGCAGGGCCACACTGCGCAGGCAGCTGCTGCTGCTGCTGGAGCTGGAAGGCACTGTATGGTGGGGGAGGAGTTGGAGGTCGGTTCACCACTTCCTCATAAGGAGGTAGTAAATAGTTTGGCAAAAACCCTAAAATGGGGAGGTAGGGAGGAGAAATTACTGCACTGGCAATTGTTCTAGGACAGGCTGCAAAGCTCACACTAACACGTCTCTCCCCACCCCAAGCATACCCACCAAGTGACGGCTACAGCTCTCGATTTCGGGCAGGGCAGGGGGTTGGGGGCAATTTTGCTGAGAAAGAGGGATAGATTGGGAGTGACCTAATAGAGCTTCTTGAAATCTGAGAGCCCTTGAAGTGGCTTCCAGGCAAAAGCTTCTCGCCTGTCTGCAGTTAAGGCTGAGGGTTGGGCAAATGTGGTGGATGGCCAAGAGATCACGTCTGCCCGGAATGGATCTGTTTCCACATGCACGCAAGTCTCATGTTTCCTGCTCAGACTGAGTCCTCCATGTACGTCCCACAGGCTTCAGGGTCAGGGACCCTGAATTAAGACTTCCTGACCACTTTTTTCTCCCCCTAACCCTTCCAAATGTATACTATGAACAGAGCCTTTTTGTTGGGAGGTTAGGAATCTGTATTGTCTCTCACTCTAGTGGGGCTAGAGGCGGTCTGGAAAGACAAACCAAACCCCATCCTGATTCAGAGCAAGAGCAGGTGGGTTACCAGTGAAGGGTGAGGGGCCTGTCATCGGATGCTTATTAAGAACATGCCAGGTGAGTTATCTTTTGAATGTGCTGAATGCCTTGAGGTACAGATGATCCGATTATGATATAACAATAATTGCTAGTATTTATTGAGCACTTACTACATGCCAGGCACTGTGTTAAGCAGTTCACCCTGCTAGATGTGGAATTCCACATTCGTGACCCCTTTATTCTGTAGGACACACTGCAGAATGGCTTTGGACAAGCTGCACAGCTGGGGTTCCAGTGACCATTTGAGAGGTCCTGAGTAAGGAACCCCAGGGGAGTCAGGTGAGCGTCCTTCAGCGAGTCAACAAACTTCTTGGTTCTCAGGAAGTCCCAATGTCACCCCCCACACCTGTCCCTTTCATGACAGCCTCTGCTCAGGCATATCACATGGCAGTGAGCAAAATGGGAGGATTTCAGGCCACTGAACTCTGAATCTCAATTCACTCACATCATACACCATCCAACCACCTGTCTAAAAAAGTCTGCTAAAGGAGCAGAGACCTGGTCAGAACCCAGCCAGTGTGGATGTGGAATAGCCCAGTGACTTCAGGAAGCAGCATCCACAGTACTGGCTCCTCTGTGTTAAAGGCGAGTGCCCCCTTGTTCCCGTACTTTCGAGACCCTCCTCTGCACCGAGCAAGGGGCGCAGACCCCCTATGACCATGGGGGCTCTGACCACCGATGCACAGTCTGTGCGTCCTGGGCTCCTGAGGGTAGGGTTGGGTGGCTTTGGTGTACGTACTGAAATAAAATGGCAGCGCTGAGTAATTGTGGGCTTCCCGGTAGGCGATCAGGTTGATTTCGTGCTGCCGCTGCTGGGCCTGCAGGCGGTGCTTGGCTCGGCGGTGGTGGCACACACAGCAGCAGCTCAGGATGATGATGATGGTCCACACCAGCCAGAACCCTGGGGGTGGGGAGGTGAGACAAGAGAGGCATGCGCACACAGTGAACACCAGCCAGAGAGGGCAGCTCTCAGGACAGGGAGGTCTTGGGACAGCACCTGCTTGGTCGAAGCTGGCACTGTCGGGCCTCACTCAGTAAACTGACATTTAGAACTTGTGTTCAATTTTCATAAATGTTTGTGTCAGAGTAAAAGACACATGGGATGCAAGAGGGCAGGAACCTAAGAATGATGACAATAAAGGAGGTCACTCACTGCAGGGCACCTCCAGGGACCTTGGGGGAAGGGAAGAGTGTCGAGGCATCTCTCTAGCACCATTGGTCCCCCCGTATTTTAGGTCTGGTGGGCATTACATATGCTCACCCTTCAGGACAGTGTACTCTTCCTCTCTTAAGAGATCTCTGAGAAAACGCTTCGGCCTCCTTTGGTGCCCATCTCTCCCCCAGTCCTGCTCTAGCCCAGAGGGACAGCTCCCAGGCTCGCTTCCTGCTGCTAACACGGGGCTCTTCACCAACAGCAAAGAGCCCCTCAAAATCTCCACAACTCAGCAGATTCCCAACTGCAAGGGGCCTTGGAGGGGCCGCCCGACAAAGGCAAACTTAGGGTTCTCCTGCTATCACCAAAGAACAGGGGCTTTTCTCCACCATGTATGCCTCCGTAACACAAGAGTCACTCAAGTTAGTGGTGGAAAAATTCTAATTGCCTCAGGTCCATCTCTTCCCTAGAGAGTGTAAATGACTTCCTCTGCTCTTGGTATAATCTGGTACAATTCCATCTCCCACTGTCACAAACAATCCGCTCCCACCTCCCTTTGGCCCGCTGCTGCGTTAGACTTGGGGCCACTGGCAGCCTCCCCTTCTTCCTCCCTGCTCTGGAGAGGGCTAGAGGAACAGGGGCAAGACCCGCAGCTCTCTCTTCTCTGGGGGGAATATTTCTTCTCGTTTCCCACTGTGTTCTCCTGGACTGTACTCAGAGAATCTCGGCAAATCCCAAAATAAGACCCCTCCCCAATCTTCAAATGTATGCAGAAAAGCCTTCTAAGTATTTTTTCCAAATTAACGAGGAATTTTTCTTTAGAAAAAAATATATATACATATAGAGGGGGAAAAACTGGGAGGAAAAACACAAAAATAATGACATCTTTAAGTAGTGCAATCATGAGAAATTTTGATTTTCTCCTCCTAATTATTTTCTTCTTTCAAATTATAAAGCTGGAAACAGAGTAAATTAAAACTTAAAAATATCTGTGACTAATTTTACTTTTGCTGGCTTTTATTAAAAAAAATTAGTATATTTCTGGATAGATTTTTTTAATTCCTCTGGGAATATATTCAGACAATGAAATGATATGAATCATTAAAAAATTGTTCATAGAATACTATTTTTGACATATACAGATGTTTCTTCTATTAAATGAAAACAGTTACAAAACACAATCCTAATTTTTGTTTAAAAAAAAAAGTATATATAGACGTCTAGAAGGATGATCAAGAAGCTAGCCACAAGGTCACTCATGGATGACAGGACAGACTTTCTGGTACAAGCTCCCTCATTTTTTGCTTATCTGCATCTCCTAATTTTTCTAAGATAAACATCTACTTCTCTGAAATAAAAAGAGTATTTTTTTCTCAATAAATGATTTATCTGAAGAATAAGTTTAAGGTAAGTTGTTATTAAATGAGAATAGATATTAATGTTCATTTGTTCTCTATTCCTGAATAACTTCAATTTTTTCCATTACAAATGATATGTATCTTTTATCATCTGCTTTGTAATTATAAATGTGTGTTTAGAATTTAAGTATTTCCACATGTATCTCTCGTCAGGATGAGTTAACATCGTTAAAAAAAAAAAAAAAAAAGCCTGCCTCTCCCCACAAGCAGACTTGTAAATGAATAAACACTGATTTTTTTCCATTTGTACCAGAACATGATATTCTGAAAGGTCCCACTGACATTTAGGGTGTGGCCTCTGGCAGGGGCCCTTTCTGTCCCCCAGGGGTGTCTCTGCTGAATCTCCCCACAAAGCCGCCCCAACCCGGTGGGACGGTATGCAGCACAGCCGCCCGGTCCTGGCCGTCTGGCAACACCTAACTGCTGTCGGCACGTGTCAGCGTTCAACGGGACCTTCTGCCGAGGTCTGGCAACAAGAGAACAGGCGGAGGACAATGGGTGGAGGACTTTTTCCCTTTTTCCCATGAGCAGACAGAAAAATCCCATTCCTAAGCAGAGAACATAAACATCAGTTGAAGTCAGAAGTCTCCCTTGTGGTCCTTCCCAGATCCACTACTGACATTTGCTGAATTTAACTTGGATTTCTCTCCTGCTGCTGGCTGACTGAAGACTAAACACTGATAGAGGAGCCCTTAGGGAATGGTGCTGAGGCCAGAAGCGGGCTCTGGAGTGGATAGGCCACCTGATGCCTCCTAGGACATCTCCTCCAGCCCCCGCCATCCAGTCAGCTCCCAGCTTCCTGGGGTGGGGTTGCGCCCAAGGGAGGCAGCACAAATAAGCACAGTGCACTCTGCTGAAGAGCCTGGCCCCAAGTCTATTTTAGAGTCACATCTAACAGATTCTGGGCTAACCACTCTTTCAATTACCAACATTTCTCTTACTTGCCCAGCATAATCTCACAATCCTTTATACTTATACTTCTGTATTACTCCCAATAGATAATCAGCATCGAACTCTATTTTTTTTTTTTTTTTACAGATTTTATTTTTCCTTCTTTTCCCCAAAGTCCCTTGGTACATAGTTGTATATACTAGTCGTAGGTCCTTCTGGTTGTGCTATGTGGGACGTCGCCTCAGCATGACCTGATGAGCGGTGCTAGGTCCGCACCCAGGATCTGAACCGGCGAAACCCTGGGCTGCGGAAGCGGAGTGCACGAACTTCCCCACTTGCCCTCGGGGTCGGCCACTCTATTATTTTTCAGTGTCCCAGTCATTTTTCAGTAGTTTCTTACCTAAGGGTAAACCAACTTTTAACTCTTATGCTGCAATATATATGATCTAAGGCAACATTTCTCAGCTTTTATAACATGCTTTTTTTTTAAACCCATGCTTTTAACAGGAAAAATCTCCTGCACTGGTTTTCATGTTGGCCAAACATTTCTGATTCTCCTCTCTGTCTCTGGGCATATGGGTAACCTTGAACTTCCTGGCCCCCCTTATGACTGGGTGCAGTTTGGGGACTGGTTCTAACTAATGAATTGGGATTGGAAGTGACATATGTCACTTAGAGGCCAGAACATTTCTTGCTGATGTGAGAAGTCTCTATTATATTAGTCTGCCTTCTATCATTGGCAACATTTCAGACAGTGACTTCAGGGTCAGTCTGGCCCCAGAGGATGATGAAGTGGCAACAAAGCTCCCATCCAACCTGCAATGGACATACAGTGCGAGCGGGAAATAAACCTGTTGTTTTCGGCCACTAGGATTCTGGACTTGTTTGTTACTGTGGCATAACCTGGGCTATCCTGACTGATGCAATGTGTTTATAAGCTTTTCTGGGGGAGAGGATTTAAAGTATTCATCAGATTCTTAAGGGAATTCTTGATTCAGAGAAAGGCTTAGATCCACTGAACTAGAAGCATAATAGAAAAAGAGGACTTTTTTTTTTTTTTTTTAAGGATTGGCACCTGGGCTAACAACTGTTGCCAATCTTCTTTTTTTTAATCTCCCCAAACCCGCCCCCCCCGTACACAGTTGCATATCTTAGTTGCATGTCCTTCTAGTTGTGGGATGTGGGACGCCGCCTCAACATGGCCTGACGAGTGGTGCCATGTCCGAACCTAGGATCCAAACGCGAACTTAACCACTCGGCCACGGAGCCAGCCCCAAGAGGACTTTTTTTTAAAGGAAAAATTAAGCAGGGCAGAAGGAGACTGGGGAAAGAAATGAGACAAGTGGAACACATATCCTTGACAAAACTGCCTTAGTCGTATCTAACATAGCACCAGAAAACACATCTTTATTGAAATTCCACCAGCCTACTTCTTTTCACATGGTATCATGGGTAGAAAAATTCTCCCCATGATGTACCAGTTGTATGGTGTTCCCTAAGTCTCAAACTGAGTTCTGATTTCTTCATTTCTAATATAGCATCACAAAGGATTATTTGTGTGCATCAAGAGTGGGGGAACACTAACTTGGGAGCAGAATGGGCCTAGAGGCATGATAGAGTATTAGCCGAAGTCCAGAAAAGACCCCTAATGAGCTGGTCCCACTTAATGGAGTTAATGTGGGGGGCAGGAGGTATTCTTGTCCAACTCTCACAAAATGGATTCTCTTGGGAGCTATTCTAGTCAAAGTAGTGTCCCATAAACTTTAAAAGGGGGAATATCGAGACTAGTCCCTATGGAGTTGTACAAACTTCTGATCTCACTAGATTTCACAAACAAGGGAGAAAGCTTAAAAAAGGTACACCCAATGAAAGAGACACACAGAGAAAGACAGGAGCATGCTCGCCTCCCCAAACACACACATACCCAGAGATTATATTTCCCAAAGACAACTCAGAAGATTGTGACCTCATGGTGAGGAGCATTTGTCATGCTAAGCAAAATGGAAAACATGTTTTTAAAAACAATCACAGTTCAATGTAGGAACTGAGTCATGTGCCCCAGAGTTCACTATAAACTTGGGAAAACACCACTCCCCAACTGGCAGGAAATTCCTCATTAGGAAGCCAAAGCATACTGTAAATTAGATCTCCTTCTACCCTACAGGATGGTGGGTGACCTCCCTGGCCCCCTCTGGCTCTCAGCAGGCGCTCCTGACGTTGCCACTGTGGAAAAGGCCTGAATCTGGGAAATGAAGATTTTAGAGGACTGGCAAAAATCTGGAAAGACCGGACTAGTTTCCTATAAGCATGACTGCAGATATAGAAGAGGCAGATGTCCTGGGTTCAAATTCCAGCTCAGAAAACCATTTCCTAGCTTTGTGACCTTGGTCACTTTGTTTTCACCTCCCTTATCTGTAAAATGGGGAGAATAATGGTCTCCGCCTTCCTTGGTCATTGTGAGGACTAAATGAGTTAATATGTGTAGGGCACTCAGAACCACGCCTGGTGTCCTTTACGTCCTCCAGCTTATTACTACTGTTGTTGTTGTCGGCAGGACCACAGACAGGAAGAGTTTCCTTTAAATTTCCCTTTAAACTCCAAAAAGTATTCCATAAAAAAGCAAAAGGAGGAACAAGTCCAAAGTCTGTTTCTAGGTTCTATGCTTGCCTAAATTCATTGGAAAACCAGCCCACCTGCTACTGATCAACCCGCCTTTGTCCAGAAGCCCGGAACACTAGGGAGCCGGGGTCCAATAGGGGCTAAGAAGGAGGCCCCAGCTCCCTTTCTGTCCACTCTCTGCTCAGGATGGCAGACGCCGTGGGCCTTCCTTAAAAGCAGCTCAACAATGGATATTTTAAGACAAACTTAAAGAAAAAGAGTTAGCAGGTGAAAAGCTGGGCAGCATTAACTGGATTTGCTAATAGTCCGTTTCATGTTGCCTCCGGGAAATTCCACTGCCCAGAAACATTGCCCTTTCCCCTACTACTGCCCAACCAGGGAAAACTGACGCCTGAGTGAAGGTCTCCCAAATTATCTCAGGAGCAGAAATCCCCAACTAGACGTCCCCCTGGAAAATGGAGCTTGGTGTTGGAAAGAACCCTGGGATGAGAGCCGGGAAAGCAGGTTCTCAGGAGGCGCCCTGACCCTCTGACTCAGCTGCAACCACTGAACAGTTACTTAGTGCCCTGGTCCCGAGAAATGGGGACAACAGGCGTACCCAGAGGGCTGTTATTGGGATGAAATGAGGTGATGGGCATGAAGACCTCACTTAGGGCCTGGTACGTAGGACAGGTCTGTGCACATTAGCACCCTCATCTGCCCTGTCTTCCCAGGCAAGCCCCAAGGCCCCAGGGGAAGGGTCAACACTGTGATGCATACTCCGTTGTTTCCCATGCGCTCCAGGACTACGGTGGTCCTCTGCCCGAGAAGTCCTTCTACCCTTCTCCATGTATTTAAATCCTACCCACCCTTTAAGGCCCACTTAAAATGCCACCTCTTCCATGTAGCCTGCCTGAATCCTGTCCAGACAAAGCAGATTCTCCTTTTGAAATATTCACAACAGTTCTGGTACATACATTCCACTCTTTACTTTGCATTACTAGTGGGGCACCTTGTCTTTTCTCTCTGCTAGGAAATTCCCTTCTTGATGGCAAACATTATATCTCCCCACAGTTCCTAAAACGGAAGAGGCCACAGCAGCCAGTAGGAATTTGGTAGAACTGCAAATTCTCAGGTCCATCTCAGACCTATTGAATCAAAAACTGGGAGTAGGGCCCAGAAATCTCTTTTAATAAGCCCTCCAGGAAATTTGGATGCTTGCCAAAGTTCAAGAACCACTGGAATAAGAGTTTGCTGAATGAATAAATGATTGAATGATGAGTGCTATAAAATACAAGTGCCACAAAAATGCACGGGATGATGATAATAGTAATGATGACTAGTCCTTCTAGCCTCAACCACTGCACTGGTAAAGCAGGTCCTATGCTTCCTGTCTGATGCAGGCCCAGTAGTGACCGCTGGCTCCGGTTACAACAGACTGAAAAGACATGGGGGAAAGGGTGCTGACCAAAGTTTGAGAAGGTCTGTGTGTGCTTGAGTGTGTGTGTAAAGTGGGTTGTGTGCATGTGTGTATGTGAGACAGTCCTCAGCACACAGGAAAATTCAGGTTAGTAGAGGTAAAACAACGGTTGGTGGAAATGGCATTTTTTTCCCCCGGAGGCCATCCCTGTCGGCAACTATGGTTAAAGAGGTACTCTGTCTGATGAAAACTCGCCAAGGATTTCCTGGCGGAGATTTTTTTCCTTCCAAAGGAAAGAGACAAAAAGAATAATCCAAAGCCCATTACTTTCACATTTCAGGCAAAGTTTAGAGGCAATTAGAGGGAGCAGGGTTCAAAGCAACAAAAAATGCAGTCTTGATGAGAACTGAAGGGGCTCGTACCAACACTCAACCCCCCTCCTCTACACATCGGGCAGAGGCCAGGACCTTAATAAGGAGGAAAACCAAAGAACTCTGAGGGAGCAGGACACTCATGGGGCATCTCCTGACCAAGAAGCCATTGCTGGGCACAGATGAGAGGAAAGTTCTGCTTTTACAGTCTCCGTGCCTCCAGAACTTGGAAAGCATGGGCCAACTGGTATAATGGCGAGTCTTTTCTCCCCTGCAAACAATGGTCTCTGTCTGGCCTCTTCCTCTCCCCAACTGACCGTAACTGGAGAGAGAATTAGCTACTCATGCAGCTCTTCCTCTGGCTATCTTTAAGCCTTGGGGTGACGTGCCTGGTTCCCAGACTGCCTTCCTGTCCCCGCCACCCCACCCCCCCACCTGGGCTTTGGTGACCCAATTCTGGTGACTACTGAGTGCTCTGCCAACCGCCCAGGAGGCTCTGTCAATCTAAGATGGGGCCATCAGCAACTCCATTCCTTTCTGCAACTGATGCCGCCTGGGCCGGGCCCCAGAAAAATAAACTGTAGCTCTGTGGCTTTTTGGCAGCCCAGCTTCAATTTTTGTTTTAACAAGGGGTGGGAGGAAGAATTTGAACCCTGTGGTTATCTGCATTTTAAAACATTTAAACACAGTCTGTCCACCTGCTTGGCACTCTGTGTCCTCCAGTAAGGCCCCTAGCCCCACCCCTTCTAAAATAGCAGCAACAATTCTGGGCCTGCCTCTGCTGCTGCTAATGTACGCGGAGGACTGGTGGGGACATCCCGAGCCCTGTCCCCTCCTTGGGGGAGGAGTCTGCACTTGACAGCCCCTGAGATTTCTCAGAAAGGCAGATGAGCCGGTCCTCAGTCCTCGAAAGGGAAGGAGGCGGGTGAGGAAAGGTCTTGTTCGTAGGAACCATTCCCACTGGCTACAAGACACGTTTGCATTTGGAGGAAGAGATTTTCCAGCCAAGAGTCTAATTTCCTTTCCATAGCAAACAACAGCCCTTCCAGCTGCTATCTGACCATTTCAGAAAAGGCTGTGGAGGCAACGGGCAGATCAGAAAGAAGGGGAAAAAGGTCAGGGGTGATGGAGGCAGTAAGGGTGTGGTTTGACAAACAAGCCGACAGTTTGTTTCCAAATGGGGGGAGTGATGGGGGCTTAGAATTATCTGGGGAAACAGACTATTGTTTCCTCTCTCGACAAACAGTTGTGAGAACCACTGCAGTGCTGGTCACCGGGGGCCTCTGCCCTCCTCTCCTTCTTTGTCCAGCATCCTACAGTGTCTGGTCTGAGCTCCAAGAAGATCAGAGTGCAAAGTGTGTCAGTGAACTCTCCAAGCCTGGGTCACTCCCTGAAGACCACAGCAATGTCACCACTCCTGTGCAATGCTGGAAGGTACAAGGGGTCCCAGCCTCAACCAAAGCAGTGGCAAGAAAAGGATTGTCTCCACATGGCATTTAGCTAACAGTAACAGCTTAGGTACACTGGAGAAGCTTCCAGACACTTCAGTTTGAGAACTGGAGAAGAAACAAAGGGGCTCGAACTTCTAGACTCTGTCTCTCCAGGAGGGCTCCATAGGCAGGGACCTAGGGAAAGTTTAATCCCTTTGAGAGGGCCCCTCAGAAACAGAGGCAGCTCCTCGATGCCCTATGGGGAATTCTGGAAGCCCTTGTGGTTCTTACAAGAAAATGGCATTCCAGCCATCCACAGAGCCCAGCCCAGGATTCACAGCAGTATGGCTGCTGCAACCTCTCTTTGCCAAGATGGCAAGCCTGGGTGTCTGGGCTGGCCCAAGGAAGGATCTAAGCTGTTGTCACTGCTCAGCACACACTGGAGAGGGCATCGAAGAGAAGCCCAGGCAGGAGTTCCTGCAGCAGCCCTGGTAGTCACGGCCTCTTAAGAGAGCTCAGACCATATTCTCCGATCTTCAGCCCACGGCGTCCAAACAGCAGCAGAGCTCTCCACCCGGCAAAGGACCCGCCTCTGGAACCCGGAAACAGACTCCACTCGCCAATGCTGCCCCCGAGAGAACGAGAAAAGGGCTCCCCAGCCTGAAGCTTCCCAACGAGCAGAGGTGGTAACCAGGACCCTGGGGATCAAGAAACCCCTGGGCAAGGACTTACACCAGAGTTCATAGTAGTAGTTGCAGCACTGAGACTGCCCGCAGCAGTGTCCTGTGTCACAGATGTAGCTTTGATTGTTGGTACCCACACAGGTTTCCTTATCCTAAAAAAAATCAAAAAGCATTTCAGCATATTAAATTATAGCATTTAAACACCACTTTTCTTCTCATCCCCTTCCTCCTGGCCATCTGCCCACCCTCCACAAAAGTAGTTTGCACCGATGTTTATTCCATTATGAAAAAAATTAAAAAGAACCACACAACGACAGCAGATTTAAGGGGAAAAAAAGGTTTATTAAATGGGGAAGAGGATTCAGCACACAGGCCGACTGGTAAACAGTGGAGTTCTCCTCAGACAGGAAAGGGCTGCCTTGCTTTCTTTATGTCCAAGCAGAAACACTTCAGGCTCCGGTGTTACACTCAGCCGGCAAGAAGGTGATGATTCTCCTGTAATTAGCAGTATGTTTTAAATAAAACCAGCTTTTCTGTGAAAGTTCCTGGAATAATTAATGCAGTACGTATGCTAGGATTAGCAGCTAGTCAGTCATTCCATTCTCCCTTCAAAATACATGACCTCCAAGGTTAATTACAGTGTGATTCAAACAAGGGCTAAAAAAACTGCTACTAAAATTTTTACTCTCAACAAAAGGGGTGACCTGCTCAGGTGACCTAGTCCAATTTCAATTTTCTAGATCATTTTTTGCTTTATCAAATGATCTTCTAATAATCTTGATTGGATCTGGGGTTCATACTGTCCCTCGTCAGGGACAGCTACAGAAAGGGCACCGCTGAGTAACCACCTAGCTCTTTGCCAAATTCTATTCGCAGCACTGACAGATGGGGATGGAGGTGAAAAAGATTTTCTATATTTCACATTTAGGATATAAGGGGCCAGCCTGGTGGTGTGGTGGTGAAGTTTGCCTGCTCCATTTTGGTGGCCTGGGGTTCGAAGGTTCAGATCCCAGGCCTGGACCTATACACTGCTCATCAAGCCATGCTGTGGCAGTGTCCCACATACAAAATAGAGGAAGACTGGCAGGGATGTTAGCTCAGGGACAATTTTCCTCAAGCAAAAAAAAAAAAGAGGAAGATTGGCAACAGACGTTAGCTCAGGGCCAATCTTCCTCACCAAACAAAAAAACAAAAACAAAAACAAGATATGAGATACCCCACCAGCCAACCTAGACTTCAGCCCCAAATGTACTCTGGACCACAATGCACATGATGAGATGTGTAAGTTACCAGCTCCGTCTGGCTTTCAACATTTCTTTATTCTATAGAAGTAACACTTGCATTCACCAGACACTGTCTTTGTGCCAAGCACCGTGTTGGGTATGAGGGATACAAAGACGAATAAGACATTGTCTCTATCCTCATTTCAAAGCTCAGAGTTAAGAAGGAAGAAAACTCTGCTCAGCAAAGAAACTAAAACCACAGTATTGTATTTGCTGCTACTCAGGGTGAGCCTGCCCACAGTGCACATCCGGGCGGATGCCTGCCAGTGGAAACTGCAATCACATGGTTGGTTCCTCCTCTTTGGGCCTTGCTTTACTACACCGTCTACTTGGCCAAGGGTATAAACAAAGCACTCCAGCGACTGTCTGCTGGGCTAGAGGCTGGGCAGCAACAGCTCAGTCACCTGAAGCCACAGGGAGAGGACAAGAGAAAGTGCACAGCTGATAACCAGATCCCAGGCTCAGTGCAGGTTTGCACCATAATCCTCAGGTGTTTCCTGGTCTTGAAGAGTCTTATACTCTGGGGTAAAGGGGTTTAGGAAAAAGGAAGCATGGGAAAGGCATTCGTAAACTCTGACAATGAGGGCTTTACAAGATTGCCAACAGAGTTCTTCCTATCTTTGCCTTCATGTGTCCACCATAAGCAAAATAGAACACCTAGGGGGTGGCTGTCCAGTCAGATGTCTCCTCTGAGGCCTGGTGCACATGGAGAAAACAATCTGTGCTTGATGCTTTTGCTAGAATACATGCTCTCTGACTTCAGAGCAAAGCACTGCTTTCATAAAGACATCAAACAGTTTCTCCCTAGTCTACCAGGCCTGAAATGCCAGTCTTCTGGCACTGGCTCACAAGAGCACAGTTCAAAGTGTCCACATAGTTTCTAAAAGAGGCCATGCTGCCTGCACTCCGACACATGAAAGAATCCAGCGACACTTCCGCCTTGGGAAAATTCACCAGATGAGGCCCAAGCTCTGAATGCAGGGGGGCCAACTGGTCCTAAGTGAGGCGTGGAATGGAACATGTTTGAAATCTAAACAAGTGGCATCCTCATGACCTACTGGTGTCAGCTTTTCTCTTGGCTCTTCCATCCCCCGAGGCAGGAAGCCTGGTATACATAGGACCCCACTCTTTTTCCCTGGAGAGCAGAACTATAGTAGCATCATTTAATCCAGTTTTCCTCAAACACTTTTTACCCAGTATATCTCGTCCCCTGTTGTCCTCCACTGCCCCAAGATAGAGTCCTCAAGCTGTCTTGGACGGTCTTGGTTTGGGGAACTGTCATTTTCTGCTGCAGAAGGGAGGAAAGCAGGTGGCCAGTCCAGGAAGACAAGAAGTGAGCTCATGGACCTTTAGCCAGGAAGCAATGAAGGAGGATTAGGGGGGTACTGAGACCTAAGTGTCCAGGTGAAGTCTTCCAGACAGAGAGAACTGTTGGTATGACAGGAAAATCCAGGAGCCTTGGCTTGGTCCCAGCTCTGCCACTACAGAAGGGAACTTTGGGCAAGTTATTCAGTGGCCCTACAGCTAGTTAAGATGTACCCTTCAACCCTAAGGCTTTATTATCCTACCCACCTCCTGTCCCCTCTGACATAGCAGCCCTGAGCCGATGCAAGAGCTCCTGAAATCTATGGCTCTGCCCGTTCAAAGTAACAGCAAAGAGCAGCGGTGAGCAAATGCCGCTTGGGGTTCTTCCACCCTTCCCTCTACGAGGAGCCTAATCGTGATTAACTGGAGGACTCTCAGAAACCTCCAGGTGGCTCAAGATCCAAGTGGTTAAGCGTCAGTCACAGCTGGGTTCAAAGCCCAGCTCTCATTAACTGTGTGACCTTGGGTAAGTTACTTAACTTCTCTAGGCTCTTAATATCTACGTTATTCTGTGAACCATCACTGCTAGGCATGAAAGACCATTCAAACAGCACTTTGCATTCACTAAGAACTATTTCTGAACAGTGACGTTCACTAGCAACGTGGGCTGCTCAGACACATGACGAATAGGAAAAGGAACCAAAGAGAATGCAATGGGAAGTTCAAATATGAAAAATTCTCAGCACCCTTTATGATTATTCTCAAGCACTTTATATATATTACGTTGTTCAGGCCTAGTCTTGAAGAGTGGGCAATAAATATCCCTCCTAACCCCCTTTCTCCAAAAGTGAACCAGAGATTGAATTGTGCTCTCCCCATGGCAGGAGCTCTGTCTCCTTGTCTCCCTTCTCACTCCCAGTATGAGCCCAGTGCTTGACACAGAAAGCTTTGTTAATGAAACAATGGCTAGGCAACCTCCATGAAGGCAGGTGAGCTGGGTGAAGAATGTGGCTAATGTGTACTGAGCACCTGCTATGAGCCAGGCACTGTCCTAAACGCCTGACATGTAGCCCTTCACCTAGACTTGAAAGCAAGCCTATGAAGTGGGTAGTGTCAGGGAACTGAAGCCAAGAGAGGCTAAGGAACTCGCCTAAGGTCACACAGCCTGGAAGCAGTCCAATCTAGTTCATCTGACTCAGGCCAGAGCTGTTAACTATTAAGCTACAGCCTCCTTGATTAAAGTTATACTTCTTCCGTTGCTTTTTACACCTCAGTTGCTTAAATAAATCCACTAAAAGCTCCAAACCAAATAAAATCAACATTTCATCTTTGATGGAAAAGATAAAGACCCTGCCCTTGTGGAGCTCTCTGACTTTGAGAACAGGCTCCTTCGACCTCTACTCGGCAGCGAGGAGAGGCAATGAGCTTGAGGCTACTCCCTTCTTTGCTCGAAAGGTCGTGTTTTCATATAATGACTTTCTGACAAGCACAGTGGTGTTTCATGCCCGTGTGGAACGTGGGGCCTTCATTCCTCCCTTTAACATCTATCCAGTGCCTACCCTGCACCAACACTGAACCAGGGGTGGGGACACAATGGGCAAATGACCTGAACAGCCATGATCTCTGTCCTTGCCAAGCCTGCAGTCTAATGAAAGACGGTAATGTAATCACACAGATAAAAGAGCAATTAGTTAGGCAAACACATGATTTGGTGAGAGCTTACAGTAGAAAAGACCTGGAGTTGGTCAAGACGGTCCGGCTGGCTTCTGAAAGGACGGCAAGCTTGAATTGAGATCACCAGGATGGTTAGGAATTTAGTAACTAGGGAGCAGTGACACGAAGAACATTCCAGGCCAAGGAGACGTACAAGCAAAGCCCCTCATCCAGAAGAAGACAGTTGAAGAAGTAGGTAGGGAAATTAGGTAAGCAGGGACCAGACTGTGCAGAGGGGTGACAAGATCAGATTTGCATTTTAAAGATATCTTCTTTCTGGCAATGTTTTCATCTGCGCAAAACTCCACAGCCAAAAAATCCTAGAAAAGTAGAACCTGTCATAAAGGAACTTTATGGCAAGGACCACTGTGATCCTCTTTTTTCATAGCTATGTGCCTTCAGCCCTAGCACCACGGTGACCGGCTCCAACATACAGGGCACACATGGTCACCAAACAAAAAGCACAGGCACAAAGAAGAGGCAAGCATGAGCAACACTGAACTGGAAAGAACATTTTTACAATGGAAAAGGATGAACAGTACGCCTTTTGCACATATGCAAAAAATTATTTCATCTCTTTGGTGGCAGTGTAAACTGTGGGAGTAACAACATTTTCCTTAACAGTTTCCATGTCTTATAGTTGCTATTCTTAGCCGAGCCACTGTAAAGGTCAATTTAATCAGCATCAGAACTTCCTAAGTGCCAGCACCAAAGGAGACACTGGGCAGTAATGGTTCCCCTGGGATGGTTTTAATTTGCCGACTTATGGGGCTGGAAAACCCTCCTAGCAACTGGCAACAGCATCTTCATGTCCTTAGAAAAGCACTGAAGTCTTAAAGTTTAAAAGTAAA